GATTTCTTTCTACTGTTGTTAAATATTTAGGCATTGTAAATTTCATGTGCAAATGACTGCCTTATTATCTGAAAATTGATATTTTTACATTTGATTATAGCATTGTTGTGAAATGTTTATTTGCAAATTAACTTCCCATAAATTGTGATAATTCCGTATTCTTGAATTTCTATAAGAGTTTTTCTATACATATTAGATTGGCAATTATGCTAGAATGTCTTTACGAACTGCTACCTTTCTAAATTTGAGCCCAAAATATTTGATTGGTTGAAATGTTATCAAAAGTGATTGTTATTAATGGTGTCAGTGAAATTCACATTATGATTTCAGTGATATGCTCAGTACATGATATTTGCTGCTTTCGAATATTTAAAGAGATTTAGAAATAATTTAAGTATGCAAGTGGACTCATCGGGTTCGTCGGTGAGGTATAAGTGGACCTATCCGGTACGCCGGTGAGGTACAAGTGGACCTGCAGGGATTAAGTGGACATATCTGGGACGTCGATAGGGATTTAGTGGACCCATCAGGACGTTGATGGGGTGTATAGGTGACATACTTGGGACGCCAATCGGGTATTTTGTGAAATCCTTTGAATTATGCACTGCCGTTAAAGTGTTATATGCATTTCAATTATTCGGATTATACTTAATTATGCATTTATTGAAAGTGAAACTGTTGATGCATTTCTGTTAATAGATTTCCTTTTTGAAAATATTGATATCTTTCAGCCATGATTATTTTTAGGATTATGATGATCACTTACTGAGTAGCCAAACTCATCAAAGTATGGTAAACATTTTTTTCAGGATAACTGCGGATTCATTTTGAGTGCTAGTCAAGATCAACCTTGGAAGATATTGTTATTGTGTTAGCTTTCTTTTGTTACTTTGTAAGAACTCACCAATGTAAATTTGTCCTATCAAGAGATGTATATATGTTTTGACTGTCACATCTCAGGAATATCTGTATTGTAAATTCTTGGGGTGTGACACTATAGCAGCCCATTTTGACTTTAAGGTTCATCAAATGGATGTCAAAACAGTCTTTCTAAATGGGGATTTAGAATAAGAAATTTACATGACCCAATCTGAGGGATTTGAGGAGAAAGGAAAAGAGAACCTAGTATGCAAACTTAACAAATCCCTTTATGGCCTGAAACAAGCAGCGCGATAGTGGTACTTAAAATTCCAAGAGACCCTTGCTCTTGCAGGATTCTCTACAAACAATGAGGATTATTGCATATATCAAAAGCTCAGTGGGAGTAATGTGGTATTTATATCGTTATATGTAGATGATATGTTAATTGTTAGTAGCTCAATTGCCCTAGTAGTAGAGACGAAAAATTTTCTTGCACAACACTTCGACATGAAGGATCTTAGAGAAACTTCATATATGTTGGGCATTAAGATAATAAGAAACAGGAAGACTATCCAACTTTCCCAGGCAACCCACTGTAAGAGGATACTAGAAAAGTTTGATATGAATATGTGTAAGCCCATGTCAACCCCAATTGACAGAAAGACGAAGCTTAGAAATAAAATGTGTCATACCGAATACATGGATATAAGAGCCATGGAGAGAGTGCCATACAAGAGCGCAGTTAGGTCCCTTATGTACATCATGACAGGAACAAGGCCTAACTTATCATTCGTCATGAGTCTAGTGAGCCGTTTCTAAAGCAATCCAGGAGAGAAGCATTGGAAAGCAGTAAAAATAATTCTCAGATATTTAAAATGGACCATGAACTATGCACTCACATATAAGGGGGGAACTAAAATAGCAATAGAGGGATATTCAGATGCAAGTTATCCCGCGGATCCAGATGATGTGAAGTCTACATCTGGGCATATGTTTATAATTGGAGCGGGTGTATTTTCTTGGAAGGCAAATAAACAATATATTGTGGCTTTGTCCACCATGGGATCCGAGTATGTGGCATGCTGTCTAGCAACCAAGGAGGTTGTATAAATTAAGAAGTTTCTTATCCTGTACGTTGTGAGATTGTGCGAATTTTCTGCGACAACACGGCGGCTATTTGTGTCTTTAAGGCACCTCGTTTTCACAAGATATCCAAGCATATCAAGTCATACTTCTATCACCTGAGAAATGAGGTGAGATTGAAAGAGATTGAGATCAGCTACATATCTACAAATTTGATTATTGCAGACGCTCTGACTAAGGAAGTTGTCCCTAATGTTTCTGTAAGACACGTGAGAGAGATGGGGAAGAGAGAATGTAAGGCCTTCAAAGGCCAAGTGGGAGATGTTTTGTTTATATGGCTTTTAAAGGTCTTATGAATGTGTAATGAAAAACATTTATTATAGTGGAATATAAACTTAGTGGGAGTGTGGTCCCTCGAGGATCATACTAAGCAAATGATGTTTGTTAATATCGAACTGTGCTTGACGATCTAAGCCAGTCGGTTGGAAAACCCAAGGTATCTGAACATAAAAAATAAACCGATAAGGGTTTTTGGGTTAGCCCTTGATGAGGTCGGAGCTTATGCCTAGATGAGTGAGCCAAGAGACTGTGTGACCCTTATGTGTGACAGTAGGCCCACAGAGATGAGGACCAAAACCTCATTCATGATTCATCACACGGCATGCATATAGATAGATCGTTCGGGAAAGCCAGATATCCACCTTTGGGTGAAGCGTATGCATGTGCGAGAGATACCCTATGCGCCATAGAGCTTTGGTCGCATCAAGTCGTGGTAACCTTGACTTGTCTCTAGGGGAGGACCTATAATCCACAGACTGGGATTGCAATTCCTTGGCTCATTGACCAGACTTTGGTGACCCACTAATGAGCCCCTGCTTGGACTGTGGGTCATGGAAAACACTGGGTCAGTTCGATAAAGCAAGTATGGTCTGTAATCCACAGTTGAAGGTGGAGTACCTCGTGATCGTTGATAGAATTCTTGAACCATATGGATCAACTTCTCATCATATTAATTTAATTGTGTTCATTTTATTATAAAAATTATTTTAGATTTATTATTTAAATTTTTATGAATCTTTCAATATTTTATTTATGATTTTTGGAATTATAAATATGAAGTTATTGATTTTACAAATTATATAAAATTCAAATAATGTTTAAATAAATTTTTTTAAAAAAATATTTATAAAATTTTCATTGGGGCCCATAGTGCACATGAGCCTACCATGTGGCAAATGGGTGGGGGCCCACATATGCCACATATGGGTGGCACGCCCCACCCATTGCTCCCTTTGTTATTACTTTGATATCAAGTTTTGTAATTTTTGGAAAGTTTATCTTGTAAGCATATGGTCAAATATTGTTTGGGAAATATTGACCATATCTTATCTTTATTATTGAAGGAATATCTTAACTTGATATTATTGAAATACTCTTATGAAAAATATGGGATGGATTATGCAATTTTATGGAATGCATGATATTTTAATAGATTTAACTTATTCAAATATACTGATAGGAAAAATGGTTTAAGGAAAGCAAGATAATGGTTCATGCACCTTCTACAATTTTGATGACTCATCTATAGAATGGATGACTCAGATCTCTTACCCCACAAATCTCTTTGATCAACGGTCCATATTCAATCTCAAGAAAAAGGCAAATTATGGAAAACCCTATACCTAAATTTCACTATAAATAGGGGTGCTCTCCTCCCATCTATATACACCTCTCTCTCTCATAACCTCTCTCTCCTATAAACTCTCTCTATCTTCCTTGGGGGCCACATCCCTCTCTCTCTATTTTTTGATTTTCTCTCTCTACTCTCTCTCTCCTAAAAATACCCTAAGGGGCACGCCCCAACATAGGGACTCTCTCTCTCATGATCTAATCTAAGGGTTGGGAAAATTAGGGTTTGAGCCCAATTATTTTGGAGTTAGGGTTTTGTAGAGATTTAAGGGTGATTACTTAGTTTGACCGAAATTAGTTTTCTCGGTTCGTGATTGAAGCTAGACCTCTGATCCTGCGCCATTGGATGTGGTGACTCAGTGTGGGGTGTAAAAAGCCCGGTTGAGGTAATCTCCGGCATCTTTTCTTTTATTTGTTTGTTCTTTTATTTTATATTCTCAAGGAAAGTATTAGGTTGTATGAATGGCATCAAGTAGTTGAGATTTATTTTATTGATGTGTTCTTTATTTTTGGAATTTTAATTGTTTGCAATAAGGTCATATGTGAGTGATCTTATTGCCAAAATTATAAAGGGTGATTATTATTTAAAAAAAAAAAATTGTATTTCCCCGGCAAAAGATAACATAGGTCTTTCTTTCATTTAGGAGTGAATTAAACTTTCATTATTTTTATATGATCAAAGCCAACTCAAAAATCCTTCCAGAAAGTCCCAAAAAACCCAAAATAATACCACCTAAAGATGCCAAAATTTTCGAAACAATTGGGGCTCAGAGCTATCAGCAACACGTATCGCATCGCTAGGTCCACTTGGCTTAACGATGTGTACCGCATCACACACCCAAACTTGACCCAGACATCTCCCAAAACCCTAGAGGTCCAATCTGGTGGTGGTGCTTTGATCATTTCTTCTAGGGTATTATCAATTGTGCCAGAGCTAGCCCAGTTCGGTCGGGCCCTCCTTTTGTTTTTACTTTTTCTTTTTCTTTTTTTTATCTAGCCTACTCTGGCCTGATAGAGGTTAGGGCTAGGCCAAGCTTGAGCCGGCCCTATGGTGACTAGAGTTGGGCTAGGGCCAGGCCCAGATCATCGCCAGCCCTATAAAATACAAAATGAGATCTATTATCATAAAACGCCCGATTGTTTTAAGGCTGATTTTGGATTGATCGTGTCCTCTTATTTAGTTGTCATAAAAAGGGATAAAGGGCAGGTGTTTTGTTACTTGGTTTAAATCATGAACCAAGGGATAAAGGGCGAGTTTTTTTTTTGACCTTCGCAAGGGGTGGGAAATGCGTTCAGCCTGGGGTCCTGATCGACTGGGTCTAAGTCTAAACACAGACAATAAACTGAGAGGTAGGGTCTGGGTCCACTTCACCTAGACCCGAGCCTAGTTGGTCGGGGTCCGGGTCTACCGTATCAGGTTGGGTCGGGACCCAACCCAATATATACAAGTATAAGATAACATAAAACCCACGAGTCGAACCAACCCTGTGGACCTGATCAGTCGAGTAAGTTCTTGGTCTAACTTAGACCCAGGTCGGGATTGACCCATACCCAACCCAACCCATTTCCGGCTCTAATCTCAAGCACATTCTATTGCGATTTTTTAATAAATGGATCTAGAAATAGAGGGGCGAAAACGTGCAGGGAAAAAGGGATGCCATGGAAGCCAAAAGTGACGCAAGTGAGTGAATTCCCATAGTCTTTTTGCACTCAAAATCCTCTCATTCTAACTGTTCATTTGCATGGCAAAAGCCAACTTGCTTTCTCATACAACCCAACGTCTATCCATAACCATCTCCACCCTCCAAACCCACCTCCACTCCAGTCTCACTCTTCATCAACTCCACCAAATCCACTCTCAAATGCTCACTTCCTCTCTCATCAATGACACATTTGCTTCCTCTCTCCTCCTTCGCCATTGTTGTAACTCACACCCAACACCCACTCTTACCTACACTAGAGCCCTCTTTGATCACATAAAACACCCCAATTCTTATATTTATAACACCATGATGAAAATTTACAACCAAGCTCACCACCCCAAAGAAGCTCTCTCTCTCTACACCCTCATGTTGCAAAAATCTGTCGAAATCGATAATTACACTTTGCCCATTGTCATTCAGGCTTGTTCCATCAGGATCTCACCTAAAGAAGGCCAAGAGGTCCACACCCATGTTGTAAAAACTGGGTTTTCTTTGGATTTGTATGTACAGAATAATTTGGTCAGTATGTACTCGGTGTTGGGCTCATTAGGAGATGCGCGACAAGCGTTTGATGAAATTTTTCACAGGGATTTGGTCTCGTGGAATTCGATGTTGGGTGGGTACACGGCGTGGGGGTCCTTGAGGGAGGCAGTTTCTTTTTTCCATCGAATGCCTCAAAGGAGTGTGATTTCTTGGAATTCAATGATTTCTCTATCTAGTAGGTGTGGTAGGGTCTCAGAGGCTCGTCGATTCTTTGATAGGATGTATGAGAGGGATTTAGTTTCTTGGGGTGCCATGATATCTTGCTACGAACAAAATGAGAAGTTTATTGAGGCTCTAAAGCTTTTTCGTGATATGGGTGGTGAAGGAATTGGTATCGATGAGATTGTTCTAGTTAGTGTACTATCTGCTTGTGCAAGCTTAGAGGACCTTAGGGAAGGCGAATCAATTCATGGGCAAGTGATTAAGGTTGGTTTTGAATGTTATGTTAGCCTCGGGAACACTTTGATTCATTTCTATGCAAAATGTGGGTGTATCGAGGCATCACGTGTGGTCTTTGATGGTGGCACCCACTTAGACTCTGTATCTTGGAATGCATTGATTTCAGGGTATGTTAAGTGTGGCGCCTTAGATGAGGCTAAAAGGTTATTTGATGCCATGGTGGAGAGAGATGAGGTCTCTTGGGGCACCATGATCTCGGGTTATGTCCAACAAGGCCAGTATCAAGAGGCACTAGCGCTCTTTAGAGAGTTGCAACTCGAGGGAAACGTTGCTCTCGATGAGGCCACTCTAGTGAGTGTGGCCTCAACTTGTGCTCATATGTGTGCTATAGACCAAGGAAAATGGGTGCATGCTTATGCAAGAAAGAATAAGATGTCTATAATAGGGATGTTAGGGACTTCCATTATAGACATGTATGCAAAGTGTGGCTGTATTGAGAGTGCTCTAGAGGTCTTCGATACGGTTAAAGAAAGAAGTGTCTCGACTTGGAACGCAATTATAGTCGGGTTAGCCGTAAATGGGTGGATTGACAAGTGTTTCAAATTCTTCTCACTCATGAAAGAGTCTGGCGTGGCCCCAAACGAGATAACATTTGTTGGTGTCTTGAGTGCTTGTAGGCACGCAGGCCTAGTAGAAGAGGGACGACACCATTTTGAGTCTATGAAACTTGTGTACAATATAGAGCCTAATGTCAAGCACTATGGTTGTATGGTTGATCTTCTTGGGCGAGTGGGTTTTCTGGAAGAGGCATGGAAGGTCATCTCTATTATGCCTGTAAAGCCTGATGTGGCCACATGGGGTGCTCTTCTTGGTGCTTGCAAGTCTTATGGAGAGGTTGTGATGGGAGAGAAGGCTTGGAGGGAGATCATACAGTTAGAGCCTCATCACATAGGGAGCCATGTACTAATGTCTAATTTGTATGCTAACTTAGGTAGATGGAAGGATGTTATAGGGGTGAGAGAAAAGATGAAGCAATTGGGAGTGGAAAGGGTGCCTGGATGTAGTTCAATTGAAGCAAATGGTGTTGTTCATGAGTTTGTAGCAGGGGATATGGAGCACCCTCAAGCTAGAGAGATAAACTCTATGTTGGATGAGATAGAGAGAAGATTGAGATTGCAGGGCTATAAACCAGACACCTCTCAAGTTTCATTGGACATTGATGAGGAGGAAAAGGAAGCCGCTCTTTATAAACACAGTGAGAAGATTGCAATGGCCTTTGGGCTTTTAAGCACAAACCATCCAACCCCAATTCGAATAGTGAAGAACTTACGAATATGTGGCGATTGCCACAGTGCTGCAAAACTCATGTCGAGAGCTTTTGACCGCGAAATAGTGGTCAGGGACCGGCATCGATTCCACCACTTCAAGCAGGGCTCGTGTTCATGTAAAGATTATTGGTAAAATGGAGAATTGTCTCAAGATGTATTTAAATTGTGGTTGAAACCATTTTGAACTTCAAACAAGGTTTTTGCTCAAGAGCAAAATATTGGTAAAATTGAAATGGTTACAAGACACATCCAAATGGGTTTTCCCCATGTTAAATCAAGTGTAAGCCATTTAAATGGTGGAGTACCATTTAAAATTTTCAATGGTCTTGAGTGGGCTTCTTCTGATCCCTCTCAAATAGGAGCTTAAACCCTTGAGGTGGGTTTGAATGGGCTTAAATAACATCTGACCCATCTCATACCAGAGTTTCAAACTATTTAGATGGATATGAATGGGCTTAAATATGATCTGAAGCATCTCAAAACATAGCCTAAATGCGTTCTGATTGGGCTTAGGTTGGTACTAATATTTGAGAGGAGCTCTGTGTTCATGTTCATTGCTCCCCTAGGTGGAAAATGTACTTGGACGGATTCCTTTGATTTGAAAACTTGGGAGATGTCGTTAGATGTTTGATTAGACGACATACGTATCTGATTGGAATTCGGCGGCACCGGTCGGGGACGCTTCCGATTTGAGAACCATGGTATTCTCCTAGTTAGGGGCGGCAATGGGACAGGCTTTGGACGGCTCAGCCCTGGCCCTAATCCAAATATGGCCTAGCCCTAATTCCCAACAGGACCGGCCCTCAGCCAGCTCGGCCTTGGCCCAGGGCAGCCCTTGCCTTGCCTGGGCAGCCTTAAGCCTTGCGTGGCCAGGCAAAAAAAGAAATACAAGGAAAAAAGAGAACATAAGTAAGGAGAAAAGGGCCGGGCTGGGCCCGCCCTGTTGCGGCCCTGGCCTTGGACTGGCATTGGCCCATATCTTATGCCCCAGGCCCTAGCTTTCTAGGGCCATATAGGCTGGGCCGCCTGGCCAATTGCCAATCCTACTCCTAGTTTTCTATTTTTCACAGAGCCGAGGCTCTAAACAATCAAATTAGAGCCCAGCTCAAAATTTTCACTAGAAGAGGTTGTTTTGATTCCAAAATTGATTATCTCGATATCAAGATGCATGGGGATGAAAAAACAAAGATAGATTTCAAGTTTTGAAAATAGTGTATCTTGTAACGCATTTTTTTCAAGCTTTCATAGATATGTTAGATCTACACTTTTTTGAAGCTTTAAATTTTATAATTAAAGATGAAAATATATTTTAAGGCTATCACAAATATTTCCAGTATTGAAACTACATTTCTCAACACTATTTTACATTGATTGTTTAGAGCCTCAGCTCTACACAAACCGCGCTATTTTTCAAATGATGTCTTTGTCCCCCAAATTTGGTGGTCGGATTTGAATTGAGCGATTCAACATGGATCTTCTTGGACCAAAGTTCGATCCTAACTATCATTAATTGAGAGGGAGAGAGCTGCATGATAAACGACCACTTGTATTTTTTGTCGTTTTTTTGAAAAAATTATAAAAATACTCTTAAGAGATGAACTATTTATCATTTATTTATCATCTTGCTTTGTAACTATTCCAACTCTAGACTGTTTATTTCTTTATGGGTATTTTAAAATTAAATGAAAGATACAGGCAATCTGTTTAATTGTTTATCGAGTAATTTAATAATTTTTTTTTTTTCAAGAGAGGGAGAGTTGTATAAATAATCCACCTTCTATGTTAACCTTTATTCGTCATTTCTTTAAAATTTAAAGAAAACACTAGAGGCATTTTTAAAAAAATAATTCCTCCCTATTGCATGTTTCTAAAGGGAAAGGCTTTTGCGCTTCCCCTACAGTATAGAGCTTCTATCCTTTCCTTACCATCAAGTCGTCCAGTTTTGATTAAGAGAGCCACTCACCATTTGATCTTAGATCCGATGTCTCAAAGTATTTTATTTTTAGTTTTTTTATACAAATTGTATAATATATGAAATTTGGTATGTGTCATCTTTTAATTGGGTCGCACCTATAAAAAATATTAAAAATAATTTTTGATAAAATACAATAACCAAAATACCCCTTGAAAATTTCAGGGGTATTTTGGTTATGTTATTTTAATGAAAAAAAAAATTTATATATTTTTCGCTAGTGAGAGTTTAATAGAAGAATGGACGTTCAAAATTTGGTGTCAAAATAGTTTATAGAAAAAAATTAAAAATAAAATAGTATAGAGATGTGACATTGTGATTGAGGCAATCTTAGCCCGCCCTTCAAAATGGACGATTGGATAAGGGGAGGATAGAACTTCTATGTTGTAAGGGAAGCACAAAAAGCTTACTTGTTTCTAAATGGTTGCGTACTTTTTTATCGAAAAAGTTTATGAAAAGTATCAACCTCATATCATGTGCCTCAAAAACCTATTGGAAAATGTTGTTGCAATGATGAAAATTCTTAAGATGTGTGCATGAAAAATAAAATAAAAATATAAAAAAGAAATTTTTGTTTGTCAAGTCATGAAAATTAAGTCTTAAAAAAATTTAAATTTTGTCATATTCATGATCTCTATGTTAGAGATTACATGCCCTTAAAAATTAAGTCTTAAAATCTATCTCAAAAAAATATTTATTAAGTGGTATGCATTTCTACATATGCGGGCTTGACTGCATAGAAACCGGATCCTTTATACATTGAGGCTTCTTTATTTTCTCCAGACTTTAATTAAAGACTGTGCAGTTAAAAGATTTATTGGAAGATTTTTTGAATCGGATATTTTGAGAATGACCTAAAAATCACTAGATGATTAGAAAAAAAAAATTAAATTTTGAATTTTCTAACACTTGGAACTTACTCTCTAAAATAGGATGGTCTCCAAGGACATTGTTTCTTTTCAAGTACATAGATGGTGCAGTTAGAATATTTTTTATTGAGGTTAATTATGATTTAAGATGTTATATTTCCAAAATTTGGGATCTTAAAATTAATCCTAGGTTTTAATTGGCGAAAATAGACAGAAGCATATAATATATTTGAAAAAGGTTTATATCGGGCTGCGGATCTAAACTATCAAATTAGAGCCCACCTCAAAAATTTCACTAAAAGAGGTTGTTTTGATGCTCAAATATACTCAAATTGATCATCTAGACATCAAGATACATGGATATGAGAAAAAATAGATATCAAGTTTTGGAAATAGTGCATATTATGACCCGTTCTTGGACCGCCAGTTTTCAAGATTTTCAAATTTTCATCGATTTGCTCAATCTATACTATTTTTGAAACTTTAAATTTTATAATTAAAAATAAAAATATACTTTAAGGCTCTTACAAAGATTTATAGTATTAAAACCACAAGGCACCATTTGAATGTGCGCTTTACATCTTTTGGCTTAACAAAAATAAAAGGAGAAGTGTTACATGAGTTCGCGGGTGCAAGAGCCGCTGACTCACAAACTTCCATCTCTTGAATGGACGTTGTAGATAATGCATCTAACCAAAATACTACATAGATGGTGAAAAAAATCCCCCAAAAATACATATGTAAGATTTTAAAAAATTTATTGTTTTATATTCATGATCATCTTGGTATAGATCATGCATCCTTAGAAATATAAATAAAAAAGCCATCTTTATGAATTTTGAACACGGGAAATATATGTACATATGAGTGGGCAAACTCATAGAAACCTTGTTCAAATAAAAAATAAAAATAATATATAAAGAGACTATTCACATAAGATTTTAAACCAGGTCGTTATGAACGTGTCATTGCCTAGACTCAAATTTTTAAAAAAGTGTATTACACACTAAGAGCATCCAATTTGACATTAATGGTTAAAAATAATTATGACCTACTTATAAAAAAAAGTAAATGATTTGGTTTATATACAATCCCCTAAAACATATATACTTCTTAAAACCAAACACTTTCATTGCAAACATCGCCATTACTTAATGGGATTATCTACAAAAATACTTTTTATTTTTTTGTAATAGAGGTCACAATCATTTTTGTCCCTTAAATTTCCAAATGAGTGATCGTAAGAGTGTCATTGAATAGACACAAAATTTCAAAAAAAAATTCTCGAAACCCACCCCGAGCTATTCAATTTAACATTTAATGAATAGAAATAATTGTGATACAAAAGATAAAGAAAAACAGTTTAACAGGCTTGCATCCCTATCGATATAAGTAAATCCTCGCCTCATAATTCAACAAAGTATTGGAAAACCTTTGCATCGATCATCTTGATGTTAGCATTATGGTTGTCAAAAAAAAAAATTAGGATTTCAAACTCTAAAAATAATGTATATTATAATAAATTATTTAGATCATCCATTTTACATTAAAAATAAGTGTTTACAAATTCTACAAGATCTATATAATACTTTAAATTTCAAATTTTATCGAAGATATTGAAAATTGATTTTAGAGCGATTTCATATACTTTCATTGCCAAAGAATGCTTTCCATATTAGGACTATGAGGTGGAAGACTGCTTTCCATATTAGGATTTGAGGTATAGCTTTATTTTTTTCATGAAGGCCTTTATTTCCAGAAAATGTGGAGAGACAAGGCTTGGCCTCACATTCCCCTTCTTCTTTGAAGTAGAGAGAGAAAGCACCAACAATGGAAATGGCTTCCTGTTCCAAGCCTCCAATGAAACAGGCTTTCCTAAAAAACAATTCTATCTCTGAATCCTTTCTCTCTCCTCATAAAGTGTCCTCTTTGAGCCAGTGTCATTGCGGTGGTGCCCAGCAATTCATCTCTCTTAAACACTTCTCTCAAACCAGCAGAAAGAGTCTTTGTGCGAAGACTCACTCTACTCTTCGTGATAACACTCCTCAGCGACAAATTGCAGTTCTCCTTGAAGTAGAAGGGTAAGTTTTTATCGCCTCTCTCTCTCTACCTTGGTTTTTTTGCCTCGTGGTGTTTTCTTTCATGGCAAGTGGCAACTGGGTCTGTTACAAATTTGATCTATGGGTGCTTTGGCTTTCTCTCTAGGTTTCAACTGGTACACTCATTAGCTTCTATTTCTATATTTGAATTATTTTTTGAGGAAATGGTTAACTTTGTATTTATAGTAAAAAGTACTAAATAAAGATATATTTGATTTTTTATCTTAGCTTTCTGGGTAGGGACTCTCTCTCTCTCTCTCTCTCTTCTCTCTCTCTCTCTCTCTCTCTCTCTCGTTCCGTTCCGTCCGTTCCGTACGTTACCGTTACCGTTACCGTTACCGTTACGTTACGTTTACGTTCGTTACGTTACGTTACGTTACGTTACGT